CTTATCCCATTGTTGATGAAGATACCTCAATAAAATAGTGGTTTTCTCAGTAACTATGACTGTAAAAATAAAGAAATTAGTTAATACATTAAAATGTCATCTCTATACTACAATATATACTTACTTTGTTCCGAAGGATAATCCTTAGTAGGAAGATAAACTGATGGCCTCTTGACACATGTCCGATTTCCGTTATCAGTATGAAAATTTGCAAAATTGTTTTCATCATGTGACGGAAGGCCTTTTAAAAATTCAGCAACAGACTACAAAGAGATATTCATACAAATCTTATAGAAGCAAGATTCGACAATATTACATTTAGGGAAAGTATTACGTAAAAGATAAAATTCAGTAAAAGACATTAAGAACATTTGAGACTTTGAAATATGTATTATTCATTATAAACATTCCTTGCACGCGCTTACAAAATCCGAGTATGGTATAAATATGTGATAAAAAAATAACAAGATAGCAATTTATACATTTGGATCTTTCTCACCATTATAAGTAGACGATCTGTTGATTGACTGCTAGATTTGAGATTATTCACATAAAAAAAAGAGATTTTAGGCGATTAAATTGATACGAGACTATCATCGTCAAAACGCCATTGAATATCGCGTCCAATGAGAAGGTATTCGCCAAACTTATTTTATACCTCTCACATTACGGCAAAATAACATTTATATTAGAAATAACAAAAAACTATATCTCTGTTATTTAATAATGTCTATTACCATTTTTTTATTAGATTTTGTGTTATCTACCACTCGATAACTAGAGAGAAATAAAGTTAAATAATTAAACCGATGGATGGACACAACAAATTAAAACACTACTATTTTTCGACGAGTTTTGGAACGCATGTGTAAGGCCCTGCACACAATAAAAAGAATAAGGAAATAGAAATAAAAAATAAATGATTTCCCTTCAACCTATCAGAAACCGTGTATTCCGATGTATTCGATTTCTGATAGGTTAGAATCGTTTATTCTTTATTCCTAATTCCTCATTCCTTCTATTGTACGCAGAGCTTAATCCTACAAACCTCCCATAAAGATAATTACTTAGATAACCACTACACAATGATGGCGACACTGCTGTATCGGTACTGTTAGGTTAGGTCTCTAAATGTACCGGTTTCTGTCAGTCAGTTTCTGTGTGGAAAGACTATTTATTTGACGCTATTGATTGCTAATGACATAGATAACTAGATATAAATTGTCACATATTGCATAAAAAATATATTACGTTTAATCTGAGACGAATGTAATTTTGCACGATTGAAAAAGAAGAGTGAAACAATTGGTGAAAATATAAAACAAATATATTCTAAAAACATATATTCTAAAAAAGTCTATAAAAAAGTCTTTGAAGATATCACGATAATTGTATTGGATTTTTGCTTATGATTACGTGTTTGTATTATGTATAATAGTGGCTGGAATAAATTAATTAAAAGTAACGACTGTTACAAATATGCACCCACAAACAATGTCAAGAAAAAATATTGTCTTATACAAATGTCTTTCAATCACGACGAAGAATATTTGATTGTAGGAGACACCAAAGGATACTTACATTACATTGAATTGCCTGGAGATGTTCCATGTTGCAAAATATTAGGAAAAATCGGGCGACCTACCTTTCTAGCATTTAATCCTATATATACAGAGGAAATATTGATAGGACTTGATACGGGTGACATAAAGATTTGGAAGCTTTGTACGGATGTCAATGAATTTTCCTTGTTATCTGGTCATAAATTAGCACCAACACATATTTCCTTTTACAAACATCATTGTCTGACAAGCTCTCGAAATGAAGTAATAATATGGGACCTAAACTCTTATAATAAAGTTCATCAATTAAATGTTAGGGTAAAGAATGCTGTCAGAAAAGCTGCCTTCTCCAATGTGGGTCATATTGTTGTGTTATATCACAATGACACTATACAGGCTTGGACATTGAGACAGTTGCATAAGGATACTAAAATTGATACAAAGATATTTGGGATACGTTATATCAAAGATTTTATTTTTACGAAAGATGGAAGAGCTATGATAATGGGCGGTACAAGAAACATAAGCATTCTTAATACATATGATTGGAGTTTATTAAGGAAACTTTGTTTGCCTAATAATTTTGTTGAAGCAAAACAATTATCTGTCGTTCCATGCCCATTAGATGGTGGAGCAAATAAAATACTTGCATTTCTATCCTCAAAAAACATGCTTCAATTTTGTGACATAAATGCATTAACTTTTCTTAAGATACCTATCTCTATTAGTAGGATTAAAAAATTTGTAATTTCATCTACTGGTAGATATATAGCATACATAGATCAGGAAGGATGTTTAAACATAATGCACACAGACAAAATAATTTCAAAAAAATGTCTTCAACCTAACGGATTGTTAAAACCATATAGAGTACATGCGCACAAAATAAGTGATCATTTGGAATACGTTAGACAAAGCATGAAGCAAGAATTAAATACGAAACGATTGATGCCTATTTTGAAAGAATTTGGAGAATATCCAGAGAAATATCGTATATTAATTTGGTCCACTATTTTAAAATTACCAGCTAATAAAAACGCATATATTGCCTTAACAAGTAAGGTAACACGTGAAAAATTTGCATTGAACACTTTAAGAAGTCTTCCCTTGGCAGATAAAAGCAAAGCATCGTTGTTAGCCATGACAATAGATTGCTTGTTGCAATGGTGTCCTTTTCTAATACAGTGTCCGTTTCTTCCCAACTTAATTTTTCCATTTCTTATGACATTTCAGGTATCTTCTTATTTTATTTTAGACAAATATTTTGTTTAGCTTAAAATGCAAAGTAAGATATATTTATTTGTTTTAGAAAGATCCCTTACTTGCCTTTGAGTTAATTTTAAGTATATTACTAAACTATTGCCAAAAGTGGTTTGAATACCATCCTTTGCCACCATTGAATATTTTGGGGATTATTGAGAATATCCTTCTAGAAGCTGATCCTATATTATTGAATATCTTTTGCGAACATGGAATCACAAGTAGAGAATATGCATGGCCATTACTTCAAACTGCAATGAGCGAAGTATTGTCAGGAGACGAGTGGCTGATTTTGTGGGATCATTTAATATCTTTCCAGAAACCTTCTCTGTTATTGATGTGTGTTGTTGCGTATAATATTTTTTTGAAAGAAAATATAATTTCTTTATTAAAGTTATCTGAAGATATCAAAGCGTTTTATAACACTCAAAATCATATTAGAGCCAAGGATTTGTTAAAGATCGCAAGAAAGCTAGATCAGAAGATATCAAAACAAATACATCCTAATTATTATTTGAGGTAATACATTCTAATATCACAAAAACTAATTACATATATATGTTAGTATTAATATTTAAAATTATTTCAGGGATAAGCTATTACAATTAAATCATAGCGGACCCTATCCTTCATTTATATTAGAAGAATATCCAAAATTTCTTACTGAAAATCTTCTAGATTTAGAAAAATTAAAAATGCAAGAACAAAATTTGGAAGAATATAATTGTAGGGTTGCAGATTTTGAAAAGAGAAGATTACATGCAGAGACTGAAGCTTTTGCAAGGCAAATTCATGAAGCAAGAATAAATGGTAAAATATATTCAATCTACATATTTTTTTTCTTTAATTTGTTATATTTTCAGTAACATCCTAATTTCACTAATTTCATAAATTTAGTCAAATTGTAAATATTGCAAAGAAATAATTATTCATATCAATTTCAGAGGTACAGAAATGCTTTCAAGAACATATTAATAATTTAAATTGGAAATGGCAGACCTTGTTACCATATGCAGAAAAAGAAAAATTCTGTTTTCATTTGTATACAAATTCTGATAAGAAATCTGAAAGGAAACAAGAATGTAATAATTGCAAGATTGGAGAAGAAATAATCTCGAATGAAGATGCTAATTCAAGAAATTATAAAAAATTACAACAAGATGTAACAAAACTTGAGTGTGAAGTACAAAATTTCTTAGATTCGCTGAGATAGCTCGAGGATGGATATTAATTAAAGTTGCTAAGAGTTTAGCAAAATAAAATTTTAATACAATTTTGTACAATAAAAATATATTTTAATTATATCATAATTATATACATTTATTTACGAAATTTATTTGTATACTTTTTACAAATGTAAATATAAATTATATTTACAAATTTTACATTATATAATAGGCAATACATAAAAAATTATATGTATGAAATATATATTTATATATATATATATA